AGAGTCCTGAGTACAGAAAATAGAGGACCCGAAGAAAACTCCGCTTCGCGCCGCGCGGCGCGGTGGCGGATGGGAGCCTGATTCAACCCTGATCGCATTCAATGAGCGCTGGACCTAAGCTTTGATATGATTCCAGTAGAGCTGGATCCAGCTCTAATAGGAGTCTATTAGAGCTGGAGCCAACCCATCAGAGCTGGATCCAGTAGAGCTGGATCCAGACCGAGTGGGATTCCATTAGAGCTGGAGCGAGCCTGTTGTAGGATCCAGTTAGAGCTTCATCGAACCCTAGTCGGGTTTTCCTAGAGCTGGACCCAGCCCTATTTGCAGGATTCTTGTTGAACTGGATCGGGCCTTGGTCCGATTTTTTTCAGAGATGGATAGCCCTAGTAGGATTTGATTAGAGTTGAGTCAAACCCTGGTTGCATTCAATCAGAGCCAGCTCTTGGCGCGGGGGCTGGCGACAGGGGCGACGCCGCCGCCGCTGACGTTCTCGCCGTCGTCAGCGTCGTCGTAGGCGTCGCCGTTGTCGTCGTCTTCGACGTTGCCGTCGTTGTCGTCGTCGTCGTCGTGTTCGTCGTGATCGTCGTCCGTCGTCGTCGTCGTCGTCCGTCGTCTTTCGTCGTCGTCGTCGTCGTCGTCCGTCGTCGTCGTCGTCGTTTCCGTCGTTTCCGTCGTCTTCGTAGTCGTCGTCGTCGTCATAATTGTCGTTGTCGTCGGCGTCGGCGTTCGCGCCGCCGTTGTAGGCGTCGTGGTCGTCGTCCGCCGTCGTCGTCGTGGTCGTCGTCCGTCGTCAACGTCGTCGTCGTCATCCCCGCCGTCATCGTCATCTTGATCGTCGTCGCCGCCGTCGTCGTTGTTGTTTAGTCGTCGTCGTCATCGTCGTCGTCGTTTCCGTCGTTTTCGTAGTCATCGTCGTCGTAATTGTCGTTGTCATCGTCAGCGTTAGCGCAGCCATCGTCATCGTCGTGGTCGTCGTCCGTCGTCGTGGTCGTGGTCGTCGTCCGTCGTCGTCGTCGTCGTCGTCGTCGCCGTTGTCGTCGTCCGTCGTCGCCGTCATCGCCGTCGTAATCGTCATCGTGACCGTCGTCGTCGTTGTTGTTTAGTCGTCGTCGTCATCGCCGTCGTCGTCGTTTCCGTCGTCTTCGTAGTCGTCGTCATCGTCGTAATTGTCGTTGTCGTCGGCGTCGGCGTTAGCGCCATCGTCGAGGCCGTCGTCCGTCGTCGTCGTCGTGGTCGTCGTCCGTCGTCGTCGTCCGTCGTCGTTGTCGTGGTCGTCGTCCGTCGTCGTCGTCATCGTCGTCGTCATCGTCGTCAGCGCCGTCGTCGTCGTCGCCGTCGTCGTCGTCGTCGTCGTCGTCGTCGTCGTCGTCGTCGTCGTCGCCGTCGTCCCCGTCGTAATCGTCATCGTGATCGTCGTCGTCGCCGTTGTCGTTGTTGTTTAGTCGTCGTCGTCGTCGTCGTCGTCGCGGTCGTCGTCGCCGACCGTGTACTAATTTTCATTTTCTGTCGTGGACGGGGGGATAAAGGTTTTCCGGGCCTCCCCCGAATAGTTTCCCCGGGGGGGGGGGATTCGAACCGCCCGGCTTTGTGTGGGGAGGGGGGTAAAAGAGAAAGGGGGCCCATGGTTGCAGACCCGCCCTTGGAGTTTCGCTTCGTGGGGGGGACGGGGGGGGGGCGTGCACCCCCTGGTTTTTGATTTGCCCTTTGTGGGATTTGTTCCGGCCAGCGACGGTGGATCGCGCTCCCCTCTCCTCCTCCTCCTCCTCCTCCTCCTCCTCCTCTTCTCCTCCCTCCCCCCCTCCTCCTCCTCCTCCGCCTCCTCCTTCCTCCTCCTCCTCCTCCTCCTCCTCCCCCTCCCCCTCCCCCTCCTCCGCCTCCTCTTCCTCGAGGGAGCCCCCGAACTTGACCAGGAGCTCTTTTCCTCGAAGGGTCGTGGAAGGTTTCCTTTCGGGATAGAGCTGAAAGGCGAGTTTTCGCGGGCGTCGGGATCGCGAATATAGGTTTTTTGTTGTGTATACAAATTTGTACACATGTGTCCATACGCATGGAAATGCGAGGCATCGTGGCCTCGCAAACGCGGACCGATTGCTTTTACGACGGATTGCTGCCCTCGGAGCCGGGATCCATAGTTCGTCACGAAAGCTCGTGTCCCCGGCAGCGCGGGTCCAAGAAACAAATAGGGCATCGTGAC